AATTAGGTAAAAGAATGTAAGAAGCACTGGACAGATCTGTACTTGTTGAAGGCGTCTAGTCTATTATTATAGAATAGTTAAAAATTAAAACTGTAATTTACATTAGCTGTAATCTAACAGTCTAAAATGTTTCAAGAAGCACGAGATCCGTTAGATAATATACTGAAGACTAAGGAAAAGGTCTTCCATGGTCAGATAATTGTGGGAAGTGCTTCCTTAGGCAGAGTTGAATTGATTTCTTTCCTGGTAGACTTTTCTGCTGTGTTTTCCGCGTGGGTATGATTACAGAAATCCTTTATTGTAGAATCTCTTTTAGGACAAGTGTTCTGTGGAATGCACTTTGGAAAATACTGTTTTATTTTGACCCTTTCATTTTCCAGATGAGAAAACCGTGGGTGAGAGTGGTTAAGTGATTGCTAAGATTATGTAGAGCTGTCTGATGTCCTCTCTACCATTCCCTGTCACCCCATGGATTTTACCTAAGCAGCGTCAGACAGAGAGGTGTTTTTTTCTAGAGTCTGAAGAGAAGATAGTATACACAGCATACTGTGGGAATTGGTTATCCAGGGTTTAACACCCTTCCCAGTCCATAATTCAAGTTCTGGGAAACGCCATGGGTTACCTAGTCCATGAGCCTCGGTTTTTTTCATGCAGTAGAGGGTGCTGTATAAAAAGATGCTGATCCTTGGAAATGAAATCTACTGGGGTTCAAAATACAGCTTCACCACTTATTAGCTGTGGGGTAAGTCACCTAACCTCTCTGAGTCTCAGTCCTTTTTCCCTAAAATGGGGTTAATACCTTGCATACTTTGAGTGACATTAAGTATATCTGAGGTGCCTGTTTGGTAAAGGCATTCAGTACATGCAATCTATTTTTATTTTTTAACAATGCACAAAGGAGGTTTAAATAATTGCTGTGTGGTCTGATGCTGACTTCAGTCCTTTCACTGTAGGACATGGTGAAAATTTTTGAGATTTTGCTAATGGAATCTACATCTCTTATTTCTTCTTTTTTTACTGTCTGGCTTCTTGGGTCTCTTATGACCCTTGTGAATTCCTGTATTGGCACATGCATCTCCTATTGCTTATACCTGACACTGTTCCATCCTGGACAAGTCCCTTTCTTCAGTCAGGGCCGATGAACAAACTGCAGAGAAGTCCCAACTTCTACCACTCTAGTTGTGACAATTTCAGATTTCCAAGTAAGATGTCTTCACCCACTATTTTTGGCCTGCACTAGCTCTTTCTGTTCCTATATGCTGCTGCAGCAATCCTTGTACATGTGAAAGTTGTAGCTCTGTGACATTCCTGCAAGCACCCATGTTGGTGCACGTTGGAAATCCTTTCCTTACTCTGGGAGAAAGGATTTCACAGACTGACATCACGTTTGGCAGAGAGAAAACAACTTCCAAGCCAAGTGCTGCTTGAAAGAGGTACGCCCACCGCAGTCACTTATAAGCCTGCTCAGGTGTTACTGCTTGTGACGCAGTTTCAAATGGACCCCCCCCCCCCCC